AAGATTTCTCTCAGAGCATGCAAATTTCAATTAGGAAAATCGAGGCAGAGCTCAAAGAAAGGCAGCAGGTATTGGTATCAGAATCTCTGGTGAATAATTTTGTGGCGCGCGGTCATGCAGAGTGGCGAAGTGATGAACTTTATAGACTTCCAGCAGCTGCAAATCGATAATGAGCTTTCTGTGAAGAAAATTGACGAGATTAATAAGGAACTGCTCAGCCTTAAGAAAAGCTACGCGAAAATAGTTGAGGTAATTATTGATGATTGCAAATGAGTGAAAATTTTTGACAGCAAGTAAACTCGACTAAGAAGCGCATAGGCGACCTATTGAATGAGGAGAACATGTTAAAACAGGAAATGGAGGGAAGGAAAAAAGTCTTGGCCAAGACGGAGAAAGACATAAGAAAAGTGTGTTGAGAAATAATTTTCGATAGTCTTGGAAATTTGCATGTTTCAAGGTTGCTGTTGAGAGGGAGAAAGCTCGCAAGGAAAACAGCAAACTGCGAGTAATACACTCTTATCATAAGAGTCTTATGGTTTTACTGCGCGGACTGTGGTTGATTTTCAGGGGATGACCAGAAATGTGCGCACTGATGGTGGAGGCTCTGGTGGTCCCCGGGTAGGAACCGATTAAACGTTTACTGTTGGAGTTTAACGCGTTTTACATAACGTAACAGGGGTAAAACCCCAGCAGTCAACGCTAACGTGAACTACGTTAAGTGACGTGATATTCGCAATGTGAAGTGGATCGAAAGTACTTCGCGAGTTACATCGGAAAAATCACCCCATTTCACGTGAAGCACATCACCTGTTTTACGCGTTATTCACTGCTTGCATGCATTTGTCGTGAAGTGGAGTGTGAAATATGTTTTTCACTAGTATTTTCCATGTCACTCTACTGGAGTTTCACCCGTTTCACATGAAGTGGCGTAAAACTCTATGAAAAACGCGATATTCGCACATTGAACCTAATTGAGGTTTCTTCCCAGTATTGGAGGAATATATGTTCGCTTTATTCAGCTGGGCATAGAAATTCGGCTAGGTGTAAAAAACTCTTAGAATTTTTTCATTGTCACCAACACATATCGTTGACCATGTGTATACTCTCCTCCAGACTGTTTTTCCAGTTCATGGAGTGTTTGAAGTTGAAAATGGAGGAACAAAATCTTGAGAAAAGCAGGAAGAATCTGGAGCGAAAGGTGAATTGAGTTTGTCGAAGTGGCTGATCGTTCGTTGGTTAGCTCGAAATCATGGAAGGTCAGTGTAGGAAGATGAGGAAAGGAATTTGGTGATGATGCTGTTGAGCATGTTATGGATGATATTCCTACAGTTTTTTGTTTATCGCGTTGATAAGGGAGTTTCACCGGTGATATGAAAAACTTATTTCACGACTACTACAGATCGCAAATGTCACGTTTTCCGCAAAGGATTACTCCGTAAAACGGCTGTAACTACAATCAATGTAGGGATAGTAACCTCCTAATAATAGAACTCAACACACGTCAAATGAGTACACTTGTACGAGGCCAGACAGTGTTCACTCTCGTACGAATGGTGTGTTCGCCGCACGCACAATAGAATGAAATACGTTGAAATGCGTACCTTCATGTGCGCGTATGAACTGCGCACGAGCTACTATACGGGAATATAATTTCCGAGCGTTCATCGCGCCGAAGTTTCCACAGTGTGTAACCGATCAAAATGTATTTCCATTATCTTAGGGAAGATAGCGATTCGACATGTATAGTTTGGTCAGCCTGTGTGGCAGTCTACCGACTCACCCTGTGAATCGAATAGTGATGCGAACCTGAATGCCGTATGTCAATGTGAACTCGTGTTTCGTTTTCGACCTCTAATAGCACTACACTCGAAATGCGTGTTGGATGAGGTGGGGTTTTCACTGGATGCAAACCCGATAAAATCGAGTTGTTTATTTACCGTATGTCTGCGAGGATCGTGTTTTGGGTGGTTTATCTGGAGACAATTCTCAGGGCAGTTGCAGGGCTCCTGAGGATACCAATTTACAGACGAAAAGTTTGCGACGGGGAGTTTGTAATCATCGCACCGATGAAGGTTGACGGTCAGTGTCTGAGCCCTCTGGTCGACACAGGATCATCTAAGCTCTTCTTCGTCGAGAAAGAGTACCTCGAAAGTACTATGTCGCCTAAGTCCTGCAATGACTTTGTTTTTGGTTGCTATGAGTGTGATGCTCATATTTCCGACGCTGAAGTGAGCGAGATAGAACACTGTGACAATACCTGTGCACACGTGGTGCGGTATAGAGGAGTATTGGAAATGGGAGGTCAACTCGTACACGACGTGGAGTTCGGACTGCTAGTGAATTACGAACCGAAAGGCTACATGCCTCACGCTTCGCTCGGGTTGGCTCCACAGTTCGATGCTGGCAGCATCACATTATTAGGTCAGTTGATGGATAAAGGAGCGATAGACAACAGAGCGTTCTCTATTTACTTCAAACCAGATAACTACAGCGAGGGCGAACTCATCATTGGCGGTGAGGACTCGAGTAAATACAAAGAACCTGTCATAGCGGTTCCTCTGTTTGACGTGGGTGACGCCTGGGCGGTCAGGGTGGCGAGCCTCGTAGTTGGCGAGGAAACCATTCTAGAGTCGGTGCCGATGGATATCGATAGCGGCACATCGTATTTCTGGTTGCCATTTGGGTTGCATCTTAGTCTCTGGAAGGCACTTGAGAAGTCGGCCAGTCTTAGAGCAGGTCGACAGATCAAGTTCAACTACAACGATGGTTTGCTCGCTCTCTCACGGTGTTCTGATAGGGTCTATCTTCCCCCACTGGAAGTCCATGTGCGCGACAAGTTCGGTGTCGTTTCACTTATTGTGATATCGAGCGACTTCTACGTACAATCGTCCAGCTCACCAGAAGGGGGAACGTGCATTCTACTAGGGCGAATGGACCCCGTCGACGATCTGTATACCCGTCCAACCATTGGGTTGAATCTATTGCGGGAATATTATCTTCACTTCCAATATGATGAGCGTGAGATCCGATTCGCGAGAATGCTAAAGGACTCCGATACTACTAGTCAGCCCTTGAAGGCTTCAAGTCGAGAACAGGGAAACTACAACAAACCTACCAAATCAATGGAACCAGATTCTTCATCTAGTACTCTGTTCGACAGAAGTATCAAGCTCGTCCCCTAGAGAGAACGCCGCTTGCTACTAGCGATCATTTACCAGCATTTACACGCATGTTGTTGTGCTGTTAACAAGTTACTAGCACTATTTCTTTCCCGTACTTGAAACCATTGCAGTTCAATGATTAGCGGTTGTCCGAATTGATGTGTTGCATTCTCGCGAAGTTCACCCAATGCCTTCGATTTCCTTCGCTGACTCACCGTCAGACTCAATCGACTCTAGAACTGAGTAAACTCAAGAACGCATCCGCATCCAAGAACGTCAGTTAGGTGATCTCATCTATCATCTCATATTGTATCCTCCCCCAAGAGACAAATGATCTAAGCATGAGACAAACGCCTCACCTGGAAATTCCAGGCTGAAATACCATCTCCTGGTGGACCAGTGTCTCACAAAGACCTTGCAAGATAAATCGACAGCACTGTATCCGAAAATGAAAAGAACACCACTATAGCAGAATTGAGACCATCCTACTTCGGTACTGGTAGTGACTCGCAGTGCCCATCCTCAATGACAACAATCCGGTTAAAACAAACATTCTTCACCAACAACATTCATCACCCTTCACCAAGATACACAATAGAGCTACGACCAGCAGCTTGTGGAGAAAGGGAGGGCCTCCCCCAAGACTGACTAACACGAGAGGGCTCACAACAGGAAAGCATTGTCGTACTAATAATAACGCTTAATGACAGACTTATGAGGTCGTTGACTCAAATGCCATCGGCGACATACTCCTCTCTCCATCGTCAGGATGTTTATCAGTCTCAGGCTCACTGTCCGAATCCACACAGTGATGGAACTTAGCCAAGGTCTGAAAAGCCACAGAAAAGTTAGTCTCCGTAGGCCCATCGAACTGGATCATTTTCTCGTGATGAAGACCATACACTATGAAACCACCATCACAATCAGAACGTGAGGAAATGTGACATTTCAAATGCGTACACAAGTGTCTTCTGTAATTTCAGATTCTTGTGATACTTGTCTCCCTTGCCAGCCTAGCGTATACCTCATGACTACTGTATTGATCATAAGCTGACAATTACTTGTTAATAACTGTTGTTGAGTTATCTAATCTTAGCACAGAAAGACTCTGACAAAACGGCACCCCCATATCGAGATTAAACTGTACAAGTGCCGTTTTCAAACATATGACTTCCCCCAAACGTACCGATGTAAGATAAGTATCGAGCTCCTGTAGCGTATAGTAGTTCTTCAACGTGCCGATGTTAATAACAGGCTTTAACGGAGCAACCTCAAGTTCGGACTCCCTGATACGGTTCCCAGGAGGGTAGTGATTGATTTGGAGACCCGTCGCCGCTGAGAACAAGTGAGATTTTGGCACCGGAATACAAACACCCGGCAGCTTACTTTGGTCCACCACTTGCACTCCTGGAGACAGCCCTATCTCTACACGGTACCGGGTCAAGTCCTGGCGAGTACCTGGACAGAAATGTGCCACAAGAAGATCAACTTAGATCAGAGACTCACTCTGCGAGCTCACTGTCCGATTCCTCCGCTCGTTATCATGTACATTAGAGGGGCCATCGTAGTCGTCTGCCTCAAAAACCTACACCAACAACACATCATAACCCCCCTCACGAATTTCAAGTTCACTCACGCGCAAGGATATGTGAGTGAGATAGTGCAAGTCCGTGATATCCCTAATCATAGCAGGATCTATGGGCGACTTCATATGCTCATCATCGCCATTCACCAACACCTATACAACGGGAGACTAGCAACAGTATTTGACGACGGCATTCCTCTACATTCAGTAGACTGTGCATAGTAGAGGCGCTCGTGACGTAGATCCTCGTACGCACACACTTACTGGTACCTCGAACAGAACAGCATGAACACTGTTGTAAAGTTTTCACTCAAAACACCAATTCCAAGATAGATGCTAATAACGTTTTCTACTGGTATCGCAGCATCGCTCCGCTCACTTTTCATGCCGGTTATTTGAGCAACCGTCTCGTGCAGTTTGGGATGCCAATCACTGCCATCCCGCATAGCCTGTCTCAGCTGAGCACGTAGCTCCGGAGCGGCGGCCTACAGCAGGAACTAAAACCAGACGAGTACAACGGAACCCACCCCTCTGTTGGCCTTCTCCAGAGACCCTTCGCGACGTTTGGAGTTCTCACCACTACTCGATCGCCTGTAATAACACTTTGCCTCAACGACACCACCCATCCATGACTCACGTAGCTGACCCAGACGACTTCTTAGTTTCGGTAGAGCCCTCTCTGGCAGCCCCTGAGGACGACTCCTCGCTGTCCTTAAACCGATGCGAGTGGACGATACACTGCCGAACCGCATTGGTGGGGGACTGAACGAGACCAGTCTAATCAGATGCATCACGTCATTGTCCATCGTTACATTCTTGGTACTGTTCTTAGATGGAGTGGAGGCCATCGAAAGCGCCGGTAGAAGAGTGGGAGTGCCCGTAGCATCAAAGCCGACAGTTTGAGCTGATGTAACAATAGACAAACTTGAGACCAGCAATCATCTCACCATTAGCATTCGATCTGGGCTGGCCTGAATCCGTAATCTCATCCAACATGAACTCCGAGTCGTTTATTAGCTTCTGTATGAGCCGCCTGAAAACAACGTCATCCGACAGGACGAAGGCCTTCCCTCACCAGCTGGTTTCCACCCCTATGCGGATCTTATCCTCCTTATCGATGCCAAACTCACTTGGACTCGTCCAGTTCTGCAGTGGGATCAGGTACAGGGACATCTCCTCGAGCACATTCAAGGCCTGCATTAGATAACAGTAAATAACGAGCATAAGCATCGTTAGTATCATCATACAGCTGGTGGGACATCATTACGATGGTGAACTAGATCGTAGTAAACACAGTCCCATAGGTCAGGCACCTTGGTAGTGTCGAACTCCCCTCGGGGTGGGCTCAGGAAACCTAGAAAAACAAATCATCAACACGGCAGCAAACCAACGAGAGAAGCTGCAACCGGCGGATGCCCATGTGCAAGTCATTCTACAGCAGGGTCGATAAGAAACGATAACAGTGGTTGCGAGGAGCACCCACCTTGGACCAGTTTCTTCCATCGATGCTCTATACGTTGAAGTTGTATATACCGTCGCTTTACTCTATCTTGTAGTTCATGTGGGAGCTTCGGTCCAGGGCCGATCGCATAGTCTTTCTTGATAAACGACGCAAAAGGAGTCGAGGAAACTACCAAACACACTGAAACCTTCCATAACGAATTTCAACCTACACCTATCTCTCAGCTTCTCCCCTACGAACGACAAAAAGCCCTTACTGCGACCTCTAGCGCTCGCCCCGCGAGTCCACGATCGGAGCCTTCGATGACCTGACCAAGGACCACCTAGTGATCTTCTCAAGCATCACAACGCCATTCTCTCACCTCGAACAGGGGAGGCTTCGCTTTCGTTGGATTGAGGTGTCTCTGGGGACGACCCGACATCGCCCTCTACTGGGGACGTCGGGTCTTCCGGCAGAGCATTTGGTGAAGAACTGCCGTTTATAGGAGATCCATCGTCGAACTCTGAATAGTCCACTGAGTCCAATCTGACAAAAACAACCATAATCAACAACAATACCAAAAACTCGTCCGCTACTTGTGCTTCTCAGCAAGGCGAGCAATCTCTGTCGAGATGAGGTCCAGAAAAGACAGGCAGAGTTCGCCACCTTCCTCATGGTGATAAGTGGGTTCCCTATCATCCTCGCAGCCTCAGCCGTACCTGCAGTGCCAGTCGGGCAAGAGGAGGGAGAGGCCACTTGCCCTTATGATCAGTCG